TAAACTGATGAATAAGAATAGATCCAGAGACAAATGGTAGGGGAGGTGGGGAGGGGGGATAGAGAGCAACCAAAGGACTTGTATGTATGCTTATTAGCATAACCAATGGACACCGACACTGGGGTGGTGGGAGGTTGCCCAGGGTGGGAAATACGGCTGAGGCGGTGTCAATCAGAGAAAAAGGAGACATATGTAAAACTTTAGACAATTAAAAAAAAAAAAAAAAGCTCAGAGCCAAACCTGACAACAACAACAAAAAAAGACAAGGAAGAGAAAGTGAGAAAGTGATCTTCCAGTTCTCTCCCCACATGTAATTCTATATAATAAAGAGGTAATATGCAAATTGACCCTCACGCCTTCGCATCACAAGATGGCTGCTCCATGTCATCACAAGATGGCTGCTCCCCCATAGTGATAGGATGGGCAACAGGGGAGGGCAGTTGGGGGCGACCAGGCCTGCAGGGGAGGGCAGTTGGGGTAATCTGGCAGGTAGAGGAGTTGTTAGGTGTCAATCAAGCTCGCAGGGAAGCAGTTAGGGGGCAATGAGGCTGGCAGGCAAGTGGTTAGGGGAAATCAGGCAGGCAGGCAAGTGGTTAGGAGCCAGCAGGAGGAAGGGAAGTGAGAAAGGAGGCCAGACCTAGGGGATGATGTCATGTGAGCAGGGAGAAAGCAGAAAGCTCCCTAACTCTCCACCCCCTCAGCAATTTCACCCTCTCACTGTCCCTGGGCCCACAGCAGGTCCCACAGCTGGGAATGTTCCTCATTGTCCCTGGAGAGTCTAGGCTGCATTCAGTCTGCTCTCTTGTGCCTCTTGAGGCCTCCAGTCATGGCCCCAGCATTCTTTCACCATCATGGCCTCTCCCAGGCAGGTCCTGAGGACATCTTTCCTTCCCATCCCTATGGGGACCATCTCTGGGCATGGATGAAGGGCATCTACTGGTCTTCTCTCCTCCAGCGCCCGCACAGGGCACAGGCTCAGTCTGTTTGTTGAATGAATGAGGGAGTGAATAAATGAGTGAGTGGGTGAATGAATGCCTGAAGTAATGGCTGCCTTCCTCACTTTACTAAGATCCTTACATATATTTGACATGCCACACCCTCACATAAACATCCCACACCCCTGCCTGTCGGCCTCCGGGTCTAGATCTGGTGTCTTGACCTTGGCATGGCTGACCTTTGGGCTTGCTGTTGGGAGGCCATCCTTTGCAAAGCAGGATGTGTAGAAACATCTCTGGACTCTACCCACTGGATGCCCGTTGCACCCTCCTCCCTAGCCGTGACCATGACATGTATCTAGAGACATTGCCAAATGTTCCCGGTGGGCCCTGGTTCAGAACCACAAGTTTATGCAACACTGTGACTTCAAGGCCAGGAAGTGCCCACTCCCCAGTGAACACTGAGGACACCAATAGCACCTCTGCCTGGGCAGGACTCAGACACCCACTCATGGTCTCAATCCTCAGATCTGCAGAGGCCCCTGCTGGCCCCCTTGTGGGTCAGGTTGGGCCTCACCCAGGTCCAGAACATGCTGGATGGACCGGCGCCTGAGAGTCTCTGGACTGTGGGGTGTCCTCCCTCTCTGTGCAGAATGAATGAATGAGGGAGTGAATGGGTGAATGAATGAATGAGTGAATGAATGAATGAATGAATGCCTGAAATAATGGCTGCCCCTGACACTTTACCTAAGATCCTTCCGTATATTTTACATGCCTGGTGTAGACACCAGAGCTCAGAAAAGCCCCTAAAGGGAGGACCATAGGAGACTCCTGTGTCCCCTCCTCAGATGTCCTCAGAGGTCCTGGTTCAGCTCTGAAGCTACAGGGAAGACCCGAGATTAGACAGGACTCAGGGTGAGGTTCTTCTCTGGGAGGGTGTCCTGGGTCTCTGGGCTGTGGGGTGCCTGCCTGCTCTGTGCAGAGAGGGGAAGCTCTTGGGCTCTGAGGTTTCTCTTTTGTGAAAGGCCAAGTTCTCATGCCCCTCCCCAGCTGCCATGGTCACACCATGCTCCTTCCTCCCACTCACTGTCTTCATTCTTTTTCCACACACAGGAGCCCAGAAACCCTCCATGTCAGAGATGCTGTGGCTGCTGCCCCTGCTATGGGCAGGTGAGAACCTGAGGGGAGAGGGAGAGGGGGTTGGGGGCAGCGGCTGACCCTCCTTTTCCTGCAGGGTCCCAGGCTCAGGATGAAAGACTCAGGCTGACGGTGCAGACACCCGTGATGGTGCAGGAGGGCCTGTGTGTGTTTGTGCCCTGCACCTTCACCCACCCGGGGCGCGACTGGAATCATCTTTCCCCTGCATATGGCTACTGGTTCCAGGGAGGAGCTAATATAAATCAGGATGCTGCTGTGGTCACAAACAACCCGGCTCGTAACGTGCAGGAGGAGACCCAGGGCCGATTCCACCTCCTCGGGGATCCCCAGACCAAGAACTGCTCCCTGGACATCAGAGACGCCCGGAGGACAGATGACGGATTATATTTTTTTCGGGTGGAGAGAGGAATTTCCCAGTGGCATAAATATTCTTACATACAGAACATGCTTTCTGTGCATGTGACAGGTAAGGAACGGGCTCCAGGAGAGGCCTTGGGAGAAGTTCACGGTAGCCCAGGGCAGGACTGGGAGGGAACCCCATTCTGGGAGGGGGTTGGGGTACAGCCTATTGGGCTCAGAGGGAGGAGCTGGACCAAAGACCTAGGCTTCTCTCAGGCTGCACCTGGGACCCTCCCTCCTGATGCCCTGTCTCCCCCTCCTCACCAGCCCTCACCACACACCCAGCATCCTCATCTCGGGGCCCCTCAAGAGCGGCTGCCCCAGGAACCTGACCTGCTCTGTGCCCTGGGCCTGTGAGCGGGGCACGCCCCCCATCTTCTCCTGGACATCAGCTGCCCACAGCTCCCTGGGCCCCAGGACCCGCCTCTCCTCTGTGCTCACCCTCACCCCACGGCCCCAGGACCACGGCACCAACCTCACCTGTCAGGTGCATTTTCCTGCGGCTGGTGTGACCGTGGAGACAACCATCCAGCTCAACGTCACCTGTGAGTGCTGGGTCGGAACACCAAGTCGCTGAGGGTGTGCAGAGCAGGAGGGCCAGGCAGGTGTGCTGGGTGTTTGTCCTGGAGGCCTGGCTGTGTAGGGGACCTCAAGGGCACAATACCTGTCCCTCTTGCATTTCTGTGTTCTCTGAGGGTGGAAGTGCAATGCCTAAACAATCCTCACCCCATCTCAGCTCACTGACGAGGGAACTCCTCTCTTCCTGTCCCAGGTGCCCGGCAGAACCATACACCAGGTGGTTGCTCAGGTAAGAAGGAGCCAATCATGGGCTATAGGGAGCAAGGCCTCTTCCAGATCAGGACAGGGCCGGACCCTGCATCATCCGGGAATCACCCGGTGACCAGACAGCCCCTGTGGGTGGACCCAGTGGTCTCTCTTCTTCCTCAGCCTCATGGCCACTGTGAGCAGCTGTCCCCGTTGGCCCTTCACTCCCTGAGGACTTCTCCAATCCCCCGTCAGCTGAACCAGGACAACTAGGCACCCTCCACATGACTGAGCTGCTCCTCACTGACCCTCCATCTCCTGATGAGTCCTGCGGGCTCACCTTTTCATTTTCCTCCAATAGTTTAATTTATGTATTTTTGAACAAGCAATATAGTCACATGGCCAATAATGAAGGAAGCACTGAAGTTGGCCCTGGCCAGGTAACTCAGTTATATAGTGCTGCCCCAGTGCACCAAGGTTGTGGATTTGATTCCTCAGTCAGGGCACATACAAGAGACAACCAATGAATGCATAAATAATTGGAAAAGCACACCAATGTTCTTTCTCTCTCTCTCTCTCTCTCTCTCTCTCTCTCTCTCTCTCTCTCTCTCTCTCTCTTTCTCTCTCTCCCTCCCTCCTCTCTTTCCTTTCCTCTCTCCCTTTAAACATCAATTATTAAAAACAAAAGATTTTTCCCTTAGAGGCACTGAAGTCTGCCCTCAGAAGCTCAGTCTTCCGCTGCAAGTGAGCAGTGTCCACACACTGCTGTGAGCATTGGTTGCTCACCTGAAGGACCTAACAGGTTCTTTGCCATCAGAAAGATAGACATTACCCCCACACACACACACCCCATCTCTGTGACTGTGGAATTGTCCATGGTGTGGAGGAATCTGGATGTGTGCACGTCTTCTCTAATGGAGAACAAGGGCATTAAGGGGTTTTCTGAATAATAGTCCATTGTATGGATGTACCACATTGAGTTCTTCTGTTGATCAGTTGATAAACATTAGGGTGTTTCTAGTTTGGGGCGGTTATAATACTGCTGTGAACTTGATGTACGTTTTTTGTTCAGACATGTTTTCTGTTTTTTAGGTTATGTACCTGGGAGTGGAATTGCTGAGTCAAATGGTAGTTTCTATGTATAGCTTTCTGAGGAAATTCTGGATTGTAGTCCATAGTGGCAGCATCAGTTTACATTCCCACCAGCAAAGTATTAGGCTTCCAATTTCTCCACATAATTGCCAACATTGGTATTTTCCTTTTAAAAAAATGATAGGCTACTAGTGGGTGTGAAAGGCTACTTCAATGTGGCTTTGATTTGCATTTCTGTGATAATTATGATGCCGCTTATTTTCTCGCTGAATTATTGTTCATTTGTACATCACCTTTAAAGAACATTTTTTTACAATATATTTTATTGATTTTTCACAGAGAAGAAGGGAGAGGGATAGAAAGTCAGAAACATCGATGAGAGAGATCGATCAGCTGCCTCCTGCATGCCCCCCAGTGGGGACGTGCCTGCAACCAAGGTACATGCCCTTGACCGGAATCGAACCCAGGACCCTTGAGTCTGCAGGCTGACGCTCTGTCCACTGAGCCAAACTGGTTCGGCTTAAAGAACATTTTATATCGAGTCTCTTCCCGTTGTTTAATCTGGTTCTTTGACTTTTTGTTGCTGAGTTGTAAGAGTTCGGCATATGGGCAGGTTATTAATGTTTATCCAATCTATAGCTAGCAAATGTTCTCTCCCATTAAATGGGTTGGCTTTTCATTTTCCTCATCGTGTCCATTGATTAACAGAATGTTTCAATTTGATGAATTCCAACTTACACATTTCCATTTCTGTCCAACTGCTGGGGACAAGGGCGGGGTCTAGGGTGAGAGCCCAAGTGGTCCCCAATCCG